CGTTGCTGCATACATTTACGTTGTCCGTTTGATTCAGTGAGCGAGAGTATTTGCTGCATCTGGTTGCAGATACGGGTTTCCCGATGTGAAAGCTCGACCATCCAGGTCCAGCTCTTCCTGCTCTTCTTCCTTCGGAAGCTCTATCTGATCTGAGAAATTTTGGGTATGATGATTCTGAGCCTTGGCATTCATTAGTAGTAGCAGTCCCAGCTGCAGCAGCAGCACAATGAGATGGAGAACGGTGGCTTGGCCCGCCCTGGAAAAGGATCTTCTGGCACTGTGTGTCTGTGCTTCACATGTTCTGTCAGGGCAGGGAGAGGGTGTTGGCTCCATTGAATCTTCAAAGATGTCTCATCAAGCTCTGTTCATTGGAACATCTTGTTCGTTAGAAATCAGTCCACTTGAGGCAGCGGCTACGCCCGCCGTCGGAGCACATTATTTTACTCAGGAATTGTCTGCGACACTTACCATTCGGCAGCAGCGGGTTAGCCGCTTTCAGTCTCTCTTCTGTCTTGTGCTCGGGGCAATCAGTGAAGCAGGCAGTCGTGCAAGGTCGGACGTCTAGGCCAGTGTGTCTCAGTCTCAGATGAAAAGCAGATTGCTCACGCCAGCAGTGTGTCTGAAATCGCGATCTGCTGCTTCTATTGCTCCAACCTGAGTCTTCTCAGAAGCCTCTGTGGCATAGAAGGGCTTGTCTTGGTGTCTTCGTAGCTCTCGATGGCACGGCGACCGGCGAGGACGCAGCCATATTCAGTGCGGATTAGTTTGGATGTGTAGAAAGATCTGGTTTTTTGATCCAGGAGCAATAGCACCCGCTCTCTGGAGCACCCAGAGAACGATGCCAAGGAGGCATCCTCGTTTCTGATGACGTCTGCCCACAGTCGGCTGGCTCGGGCTTTGTCTACAGGCCGGCTTGCTTCATCAAGCAGTATACCATAACTCCTCTCCTTGATTCAGACGTCTTCTGTCTTTGGTACTTCGCAAGATTTGCTCGAGGTGGCTTCGATCCGGAAGCTGTGGCCCCTGCAAAGAAGGACAAGAAGAAGAAGAAACGTTCTCCCAGTCAATGTAGACTGTCACGTTGTTACATGTGCCATCTGGCAGGATGTTTCGCCTCGTCTGAGGTTCTTGCTCCTCGTCTTCTTCTGATGCGGCGAGTGCCAAGGAGGATGTCCAGGACATCATGGCTATCTTCGCCTTACCCCAGAAGGAATGGAATCGTGGCAGCAAACAAGTTCGCCTATCGGATCTGACCAGCAAACAGATGGCAGCTGCCATGTCCAACATGGGCTCTTGGAGTTCGGCAGCTGATCTTCTCGCGATAGGAGGTGAATATGCAGCTTGTCTCAACAACGGTTTCCACGACCATTGTCCTCACTCTGTGCAACGCAAGTCCAAATACGTGCAGCAGGGAACGAAGCTTGTAGCTGAGGAGGCTCTTTGTGCTCAATCCGTTCACAGGTGCAAGAGGTCCAAGGATGTCGCGGGTCAGAACCAGTGCATAGCCAAGGCAGTTCATGATGCTGGGGGCGACAGTGTCTGTGTGTGTGAGTGTGTTTCTCCCCTGATTATGTTGTTGAGTCCAGCCACTTGTTCCCTGATTCAGATGAATATGGCTGGGAATATTTGGAAGAAGCGGCTCGAGCGGGTGCTTACAGTTCGCATCTGGGCCTAATCCGTCAGTCTGAAAGAAGTAGCTGTGGATTCGTTGCCATGCCTCTCCTACTTTGCAGGTCATAATCAGAAGCTGCTGGATTTCAACTGAGTTACTAACAAGAAGGCCTCCGAGATCACGGTGAGCAATGCCAAGACTATGGAGGATGTGACGTCCCTGCTGAGCAGTCTGTTGAAGGCTGCGAGACGGTCCCTTGGCTTCGATTCTGTCTTCTCATCAACTAGAGACAACAGATCTGTCTGTTCAGGTAGGCATGATTCACTCTTCTGTGCCCGAGGAAGGGCAAAGTTGACGACGCTTCCATGTCGAAGATGTACGACAAGGTCATCGCCGAACTTCGGGAGGAGCTTGGTTTCAGTGTTTCCGCTAGTGTTGCTCTTCGTCTGGTAATGCAGTATGCAGCAGCTTCTGCCTGAGTTCTGAGAGATATCGCCACTGCACTTCTCTGATGTTCGAGCAACGACCTGTCTGCAAGATTGTCTTGACTCAAGCCTGCCGGAGCTAGTCTCTCGAGGGTCTCCTTCCGGTGTCTTCGCTGACGTTGCTAATGGCGAAGGGCTCTGCTGCTGCTGCCGCCGAGCTGAAGAAGGCGGGCAGGAGCATGTACGAGAAGTACGCCGGCGAGCTGGAGGTGATTAAGGAGGGGGTCGCCGAGATCTTAAACGAGCACCACAGAAAGAAGGTGCTCGAGAACGACGACCGCGAGGAGATGCTCACCACCTGGCAATGCGATCTGGAGGAACGCGAGAGAAAGCTGGAAGAAAAGGAGAAGGAGATGGAAGAAAAGGCAAAGGAGATGGAGTCCCAGCTTCGCAGAGGGAGCCGTGACCGGAGCCGTGACCGGAGCCCTGACCGGAGCCGTGACCGTGGTTCCATGCTTCCCCGGGCTGACTGGCGAGAGTTGTGCCAGCACTGTATGATAAATTACTGCACTCGCCCAGGCCCGTGCTCGTCCCACAAAGACGGCTTCCACAACTGCTGGAAATGCCACAGGGATTGGAAAATTTACGGCCACAAAGGTGGCTACTGGATCGACCAGGAGGAGAAGGGCGGCAAGGGCAAGGTCAAGGGCCGTCGCTGAGGCCGATGAGAGTTCCGGATATCGTCTTGATGATGAAAAAGACAGCACTGCTTGTTCCAGTCTGTTTTGTCCGCAAGCTTTCAGGGTTGGCATGTTTGCACGCAGTTCAGACAGTCTCTGCTCTTCTGCTCTTGCACTGAATGAAAGCACCAGTGGCATGCAGCTCTTTGCTTGTCTTTGCAGACCTTTTGGGTACGAGATTGAAGAGCGGTGCCCTGCTTTGCCATGGCTTCCGGTGGTGGAATGGCAGAGATGTTTGCCCTTCTGGCACAAGCACAGCTCAATAATGCTGGCTCAGCTGCTCAAAGTTCCTCGTTCGTGCCTGGGCAGCCGATGCAGCAGGCGATGCAGCAGATGGCAATGGCTGCAACGCAAGCAGCTTACAAGGATGCCATGACGAAGTTCGAGCAGATGCAGCAGTTCAGCATGATGGCAGCTGCCCCTTTCCAGGGTCAGGCTGAGGAGCCAGAGCTGGCAGCGAATGCAGAAACAACTCTCGGTGATACCCCCAAGCCTGCAGAGGATGACACGGGCGATCAAGAAGAGAAGGAGACAGAGACTCCAGAAGAGAGTGCTGCCCGGGACCAGCCGCAGCCGGAGAAGCCCAAGTCGATCTATAAGCGGCTCGGGGTGCTGAACGTGGACAAGGACACGCAGCTCGAGATCCTGGCCAAGTTGATCAAAAAGCCGCCCTTCGTCCCCTCGAAGCCAAAGCCGAAACCCATGCCGGGCCACGTGAAGGTGAAGGAGCCGGACCATCCGCCTCCGGACAGGTCGGGCCGTAGTTTCTCTCATACACGAAAATGTAGGCCATCTTTCTTTGCCGCATCATGCCCTGACACAGATCCAGGAGCAGACGCCAGAGGGAAGCAGACGAGCACCCCGAGAGCAAGAAGAGAGCTCGTGGCGGTACTTCCTCGAAGGACATCTGGACG